TTGCCGGGCGGGTGTCAGGCAGCGCGCGGAGGGGGAGCTGTCCCTTATCCTAGGCAGGGCGCCTGGATTGAGAGCCTGTTCTGAAGATTCAATAGAGTATGGCCTTCCTGGGTGAGAAGGCTCGGTGGACGTGGTCTGTGATGACCCTTTCTATCGTGGTTACAAAGTCAGGATGTTGTTGGCGGGAATGGGCCGATAATTATCACGTGAGAATTATCAGCCCATGAGTCGCAGACCTTCTCTTACTTGCTCAAACCACGGATAAACAAGATGAAACTTTGACAGACGCTTCGTGGGCATCATTTCAAACCCTCCGGCCCGTTTGAACGGAGTTCAAGCGCCCTGCGGTGAAATATTGCCTCTGCCAGCTTTGGCGATTTCCAGGATTCATTCCGCCCCCATTAGAGGGGAGCCCTAAGTCTCACTCTCTCGTACACCATCCCCTTCACTGTCATTGGTATCCTCATCTAGCGGAAAGGAAAAGTCATCCAGTGGATACACTGGAAAATACCGAACCTTTGTCGGGCAGCTAGAAAGGGTTTGGTAAAACATTCGAGAGCCCTCCCCAATCTCATTAAAGTGGTCGGTGGTCCGGTTATGCGACGCCCAGCTGCTGTCCGTGACTGTCTGAAATCGGCAGAATTCAACGGCGCAGCGGTAACCTTTCATCACCTGCAGGTATGGGATTGCAGGGATCCTCCGGTGTGGGTGTGGGTGGACCACATCACTCCACGATTTGGCCAGTTCTTGGATCGGCCGCAAAAAGCAAACGTTTGTTGACTCATACTCGGTCGCTCCATGGTGATGGATCAAGTGATGGCTGAGCTCATCCTGGACGAAGCAGTTTCCATGTTCCTTACAGAGAACCACGCGCCACTGTGGCATCGGCTGTAAGAATGGTGGCACTTGTCTTGATGACATTACTTACCACGGTATCAGGTCTGGACTTATCAGGGGGGCGGGGGCGGTCGCTGCCTGGCGATGCTCCCTCATCCACGGAGCCTTCCACCGCACTGCTAGCACGGTTCCCATCTCGCCTGGTCCTGGATTTTCCGCCTGGATAACAATCCCTCGCTCCGCCCAAGTCCGCTCGCAGTCCTTGTTGACCGCCTCCAGTGAATCCTGAGGCTGATGGCGGCTTTCTTGTGGGCCTCCCCAGCTGGCATATTGGTCCTCCCGATAGCGGGACCGGCGTAGATTCAGCTGGCGCCGTGGCTCCAGAGGGAGAATCCAGTCCTCAATGTAGCATTCAATATTATGATAGAGGAAGAGGTTCGGATCTGTGTAGGTTTTGGGGTGGGCCAGGCGGACTTCTCGCCACCGGCCTCGAGCAAAAGCTCTCAGCAATGGCTCGTGCAGAACCCATGACCAGTAATCATAGCTGCCCGTATCCTGTCCCGCAGCTGACAGATCATCTGGCATTGCAATCGTGATTGTCTCTAGCTCCTTCCAATCCAGAAGAAAAGCGGCTAAGCGCAATGCCACCTCCAGATGATTCTCCCCATCATCAAACCCCATCAGGTTTTGGCCCAAGGTGATCGACCGTATCGACTGACGCACCGTGGGTGGTAAGTGCTCAAGTTCCTCTAATAACTGCACACAGCTCGTCGTTTTTGGGATTAACCAAGTCATGGTGAGGGGTTTTGTGGTTACCTGCGGTAACAGGACATGAAACATATATTTGCAAGTTGCCGTATTTGTTGTTGTGGTGTTCCTCCCCCGCGACCGCCTGGGAATTACATAAGCCATACATTCTAGTTATTATGCATTACGGCAGGTTACAGGTCAGGTGGACCTTGAAAAAGATGAGGTGGACGCCCCACCTGTCTTGGCACTCTCAACCTCCCAGGTCAACATTTAAATACTGTAATGCATACCATGAAATTTGTTTTCAATTTCTCCTCCGCAATTATCTGCACATTGATTTAAACTTAAAACTACTTATTAACTGATTAGTTACTGCGTCTGTATTGATAATATGGATTCAGAGGCTCTCTTAATGAACTGTGGTGAAATAGATGATGTCTCCTTGAACGAAGAGGAGAATGAAGAGGTAAGAATCATAAACTGCTTTTCAAGTACTTACTAACTGATTTTTAACAACCTAGGCCCAGCCAAGCTGCTTTACTCAGTTAACAGATGCAAAAACTCATCTACTTTAAA